AACCGATAAACTGTTAACAAAGTAATCAATGGAATCAATAAAGAAAGCAACGGTTTTTCCCGCGAACACCTACCAGTCAATCACTCGAGAAAAAAGGAAGGAAAAAAAGTCTCGAAAGTAGTTTTAAACACTTCTTTATGGCTTCATTAGCAAACAAATTAAAGTTATGCCCTTTTTTTTACTTGGCAAAAGGTTGTAACCAAAAGCATCCTTGAATAATTCGTGACCTTTCTTTGTCAAAATCAAGTAGGTAACCTAATTTCTTCCACAAAGTTGTTAAGTTGGTTTTTTTTATTACACATTACGCACGTATTTTTTGGTGAATTTCACAAATATTTACAAAACTAAAGGATACAACTTAATTAAACACTTTGAATACCTAAGCAACCAAAAACTACACTCTTAATCATCAAAATCTTACAATATTTTTTTTGCCATGCCATTGATGGTGAGTACGTAAGAATCAAACATTTCACATCTTTTATATATATGAGAAAAATGGGTATGCTTGGTAGTGAGGTGGCATATTCTCCTTCACTCATTGAAATTGGGGTCCACATTCACGTAGGTTGGGGAGCGATTGAGAATTGGAATGAGTGGATGAGAATTGGACACCTCACTACAAAACATACTCATCTCTCTCTCTCTCTCTCTCTCTCTCTCTCTCTCTCTCTCTCACTATATATATATATATATATATATATATATATTATATTATATATATATATATATATATATATATATAGATATATATATATATATATAATATATATATAGTAGAAAAGGATAGAGAGAGAGAGAGAAACTTTATATGTTCAACTTAAAGTGACAATGACCACGCAAAGTATTCTAGTCCATTGATACAGAAGAAGGTCTTTTCATATGATACACACTGATCTCTAGGTGATCATCAATATGATAGAAAGCTTCTGGTGATGGTCCACTTAAGGTTGACATAAGTTTCTCTCTGCTCTAGACATATCGTGGTGTGTACACACACACACACACAGTAGCACAAGCACACACACACACGACACACACAGTATACTATAAGTATATATATATATATATAATAATATATATATACTAGCATATGTATATATATAGGATAATCACTATGTATAAAAGTGTATATATATATAGTACATATGTATATGTATAATATATATAATATAGCAATATGTTATATACTATATATATATAATATGTATCTGTATAATAATATATATTACATAGTGTAGTGTATATATCAGTAACCATATATATATATATATATATATACTAATATTATATACTATATATATATATATATATATATATTATATATATATATATATATATATATATATATATAATATATACTATATTATAAAACAATAACAGATATATTTATAGTAGTACTATATATATATATATATATAATCTATATATATATAATATATATATAATATATAGTATATATATATATATATATATACATATATGTAGTACGTGTGTGCGTCGCGCTGGACACACACGCTATATATAATATATATATATATATATATATTATAATATATAATATAATATATATTTATATTATATATTAGTATATATTATATATATAATTATATATATATATTATATAAATATATAATTGAGATAAATTTTACCAGGTTTCGAGTCTTAGCCATTTACCTACGGACGATCCGAGATAAGAAGTTATACACATGAATTTCACAAAGTCAAGAGATTTGTCTTAAAAAGAAGGGGGAAAAAGTAAAAATATATAAAAGGATATAGAATGTAAAGGAGAAAGCCATAGAGAAACTCCGGCTTCTTCAGTCTTCAATGGAAAGATTTATTTATTTATTTATACCATAAATAAATAGAAGAATTGTACGTAATTTTCAAACCAACTTTCTAATAACCCGTGAATGATATAGAGCGCTCCTTTTCTACGTGGTGCTAATAGAATCCTTACTCAAATGTGGATATATATCTAATATTATATTAAAATCCTTAATTAATTTGTCTTTCCATGTGAATTTATAAAATGTTTTTTATCCTGAAATCTTCATATTGTACATGTGTCTAGTTTTCACACAAGGGAAAAGCATGCATGAACAATGTCAAACAATTGATCACTTAAGAAATATAGAGTTAACCTACTTCGTTGGCACGTACGTAGAGACAACTTCCCAAATTCTACGGATGCCGAACTTTGTTATTTTGACAGATCTACATCTTAGTTACCTAAAACCTAGCTAGTTTCATATTGTATGACACGCACACGCACACATCAAACCCCTATTAATTATAAACATTATATATAGAGTAATGCTAATAAATTATAAATTCTGTCCTCCTCTTGTGTTACAAAACAGATCGACGGGATATACATATATACATACATATATAAATTCTGTCCTCCTACATGTCTTCAGGTTTCTCTTGTAACTCTAGCGCCATATAACCGAAGGATAGATGTATTTATAATCCAAAATTTTGTCCTAATATATTTTGGTTCAGGGATCTTAATTAAGCAGTGAATATAACTAGAAGTAGATATTCAAGTATTAATGCTCTGAGATATACAACTGGCCAGTACCGTTTATAGCTCCACTACTAGCTAGATACTAATAAAATAGAAAAAAAATGATGATAAATACCTATGTATGTACGTATATACATAACCCTAGCGAGTACAAGCTAGGGACACCCTACTAAATATATATATACACGTGTGTGTGATATAAGACATGCAAGTACCTTAACTTACATATACATATAACAACAACATATAATAAATAAATTAATGAGACAAAACAAATGGCTAGTGCCGTATTCTAAAAACTCAACCCATGTTCAGGTGACCAAACTGAACACAGGGCGGCTAATCTCACCTTCTCCACAAGAGAAAAACGCAACCCAGTTGGTCTTCGGCAGCTTTTGTCCTCTACTTTCAAAGTTTAGTCGGTGAGCTCACCACCCTCCTCTTATCCTCACCCCTACTCGATCTTTTCTCTCTCTTTTTTCTTCAAAAAGAAAAGAAACCTTGATCAAGCTAGCTTGCTTTAATTTTTGTGAAGAGGTGAAGGTTAGGGTTTTGATGGCGGGCGGTCATAGATCATTTCATGGCTACCAAGATCAAGAAATGATCTCTTTTGGAATGATGAGTCAATCCTCTTCTTCTCATCCCAAGCATGAAAATTCCATGTAACTTATTTGTCACTTTTATATGTTGTATCTTTTTGTTTGAAGTCAGTAAGAGCTAGATATAGAAAACCTTATAGTACATGCATGACTCAGTTTGTTATTTTCATTTTTTTTTTAAATTTTATGTGTGTATATCCTTTAGTTTAAGGTTCCACTTGTTAGGTAGGAAGAGTTTTTTGATTAATTCTGTCTTTTTCGCCAAAATTAACACTTTGTTTGAATGAGTTTTTTGATTAATTCTGTCTTTTTCGGCAAAACTAACACTTTGTTTCATTCAAACACTAAAAATCTACAAGTTGTGATCATGATATATGTCCTTTTACACGTGATCAAAGTGAAGGCCTGGAAGAGCAGCTTGATCTAGTTCGTAACTTGATTAATTTTACACTGAGGCCGGTATTATGTTTGCTTTGATATTTAACAGGCCAAAGGAGGGAGGAAACTATGACATAGGGGAGTTGGATCAATCTCTTTTCTTGTATTTTGATGGGCATGATAATCCATCAGTTGATCAAGAGCATAAGCGTAAGTATCTTCGATCAATTACTTTTTATCATCTTCTTATATTTGAATTTGATTTTATAAAAAAATTTCCCTTTTTAAGCTAATCTAATTGCATCTTGAATGGTTTATGTTAATTTCCTTCGATTTAGAGTCATATGGAAGTGATAGTTGTACGAAGTCAAGTTTTTCATAATTCAGAGTAACTTTTTAGGGTTCCACAAGAGAAGTACGTAGATATGTGATTTAGTTTTCTTGAGCGTCCTAATATATATTTTTCTTATTAATTTTTGAGTTTTTCCTAATTTGCAGGAACTATAAGTTCATTTCCCCCTCTCTATATTTAAACTTGTACTTTGTTACGTATGCAAATATTAATTCTGAAAGTTGCACCTTCAGAAGGTTTAATGCTTGCAGGAATTAATTCATGTATGCAGAGACTCTTAACATTTTCCCTTCTGAGCCCATGAATATAGAACCATCAACCAAGGTTCGTATACACACATAAATGTGAATCAAATTAAACTAATATTATTCAATCTATTTAATTAATCCTTCATTTATATCCTAAACTTAGTCTTTTCGCTAATCGTTTTTTTTCAGGTTGATCTTGGTTTACTCCCTTCAACAAGCAATTCTAATTCTCAGAGATATAATATTGAACAACCAATGGAGCGTGATAATCCAAGAGCCGTTTCATCTTTGGCTGGAAAAGGGAAAGATATTAAAACTTCACTAAAAGTACAGTTAGAACATGCACTTTAATTTATATCATGCATAAAAAAAAATTCAGTGACCCAATTAATTAGACATATAATTAATTATTCTTCCCTTCTGCAGAATGAAGAAAAGAACAAGAGCATAATAGCAAGTTCAGATCAAGAAGGGCCTAAAACCCCAGATGCCAAAGTGAGTCAACTAAATGATATTTTATGCAATTAAATCAACAAATTATAATAGCTTCATGATTCTTCTTGGTACAGACTTTGAGAAGGCTTGCTCAAAATAGAGAAGCAGCAAGAAAAAGCAGGCTAAGGAAGAAAGTAAGCCAACCAGATGAATGAGACCTCTCGTCTGAAGTCTTAACCTACCATATTCTCCTAAATTTTGTTTTTTATTTTTCTTTCCCCAATTTACATTTTCCCCTCTCTTCTTTTTATTTATTAATTTGACAGGCTTATATTCAACAACTTGAAAATAGCAGGATCAAGCTACTCCACCTAGAACAAGAACTCCAAAGTACAAGAACTCAGGTTAATTTCATATATATCTTCAACTCCATTTACATATATACTTCTAATATATATTATCTTATGCAACGATATATTTTTCTTAAACTTTGGTTTAAACCCCATTAATTGTTCTGGTATTATATATCTTAAAAATCTCTGATCTGTTACGACAAAATTTCGATTCATGCATGACGGTCTTAATTTTACATTTCTAACGTACCATATATCTCTTGTTGCCCTAATATTTGACCTGGAATTAATATTCGTCTTATTTTTCTTTATAATACTTAATTAGTCTATGCTAATTGATATCCTAACCACCATTTACTTCTTGTAATTAATTAGGGCATGCTCATCAGTGGAGTAAACCAAAACCTTCCTCCAAACCCAAATGGGCTCACCTCAAGTACTAACCTTCCAAACCCTAAAACTTCATATATTAGTACTGTTATACATATTTAATTTTTAACTAACCCTTCCAAAAAAAAATTCCCTATAATATATAATTAGATGCAGTTGCATTCAACATGGAGTATGAGAGATGGAAGGAGGAGCATCATCAGATGACGTGTGAGCTGCAGGCTGCAGTTCAAGAGAACCTCCCTGAAAGTGAGCTTAGGGCTTATGTTGACAAATATTTGGGTCATTATGAGAAGATGATGAAGCTCAAGAGCGTGATTGTGAAGCTTGATGTGTTTCATATAGTTTCTGGGATGTGGGTTTCTCCTGCGGAGCGCTGCTTCTTGTGGATTGGAGGGTTTAGGCCTTCTCAGATTCTCAAGGTTCTTAATTTTATAGAAATCTTCATGGAACTTTATTTGATTAAATTCATTTCTTGGTATATTTATCCCTTATAAGTTTGAGGAATTTATCATATACTTCTTAATTAATTAATGTATAGGGTTTTGAGTTCATTAAAAAGTTATAAAAATCGCTTCATTTATACAATGCTTTGTAGAAAATCAGTATCATTTATTAAACATAATAATAAATTTAATAACAAAATATTTTTCTACAGTTTTGATGGAATTAATAATAGTAAAAGTTGCTATGTGATAGTCAATTTCACACATTTTTTTCCAATTTTTTCAATATTATCTTCACATAAAATGATGGGATTATAAGAAAATATAGTAAAAATTGCAGCTGTATATATGAGAAGGTTTCTTTACTTGACAAGTAATATTGGTTTAAAGCAAGATGTAGATGAAGAATGTTTTTATTTTTATTTTTATTTTTTACTTTTTGTGAGAAAAATATGAGATGTAATCACTTCACCTCCTAGTGAAGGGATCAAGCTCGAGGATTTATTTTCCACATATTATTGACAAGTATTTTTTTTCTTTTTCTTTTTTTGTTGGGGGGGGGGCTATCAAATTTTAGGTGCGGAAGATAAGGAAACTACGATCTAAAATGGTGAAAGGTCTCAGTTAATAGGACAGTTAGGTGTTCTTTTTTCTGCCTTTTTTTTATTTTTTTATTTTTTTCTGGATTAGTTAGAATGGGATTTTATAGGTGTGAAGACTTTGGCCTGGTTCTCTTGTCTTAAAGTACTATTTCTTCATGTTGAAGCTGGTAAAGGGTAGTTGGTGATGAAAGATATATGATTTAAGCTGGGTTAGTTAAGAGTACTATTGAATTTGGGAATATTATTTGGATTAGTTCAGAGTACTCTTTGGTTTCAACTTATGGTTTTTTTTGTTGTATAAGGGAAGTTGTTTTCTTAATGCAATAAGAAAGATGATGAAAGTGTTAAAGAGGAGTATGTTATTGAAATTCCTTCTTTTTAAAAAAATGTTTCACATATATGTATTATATTTCTTCTTTCTTACTTTGTTTACCCCTACTAGCAGTAGATGACTTCTTTTGAACTTCATATATTTTCTGTAATTAATAAAGCAGATTTTCTGGAATATGAGAAGGAGATACACTAGAAATTGAGCATCCAGAGATTCAAGTAATATTGATATGTGCAAATAGAAAGAGAGATTACATAAGTATTTATACTTACGTTTAGCGTTAGAATAAATATGTTAAACAGGCATATATTATTGGATAAACTTGAGTTAAAATATTACAGTTTAAGGGGGGAAAACATCTCACCCACTCATCATATATATTCTATCTTTTTTTTTAACTGAAAAACAGGGTGAGAGGTCCTGATGTAGACGGTAGGGAGCGAACCTTGTCGTCACCATCCAGGCTACATCTGCCTTGTTTCCATCCTTCCAGGGCTCAGGCTATAGAAGAGTGTGCTGATAAACTTAAGACAACACAAATAATTACAATACACTATACTAGATACTTCAAAAGGATAGCGAGTGAATCCTGCTTAGAAGTTGTCCGTTGCTATGTTTCCCGCCCCTTCTTTAGCTAGCTCCTTTAGACCGAGATCAATGGCAGCCTTGTGAAGAGAGGCGGCCCTTCTACTACTAGATGCTCCTGTCTAGAACAAGGTAAAACGAGCAACATTAGAGGTATATATTGTGAGGTGAAATATGGACATCGTTGATATGAGGTTGTTTCTACTATTCTAAATCCACCACCAGCAGCAAGGGAGGAGAACCCTCCAGAGGGCTCTAAGCTTCAAATTAGCCAAGAGGTTGGGCTTGGCAGAGATAAGATGGTCCACTTCTTGAGGCCAGTTCCCAATCTGCTCGTATGGGATGAGGACTACCCAAACATTTCTAGTGAAAGAGCAGTTATTAAAGAGATGGTTATGAGATTCAGTTTTAGTGCTGCACAGAGAGCATATGGGGTCTCCTGTCCATTCTTTCTTAGATAGGTTATCCTTAGTATTAAGTTTATGATGACTCAAAATCCAAAAAACCCTTAACTTTGAGAGGGACAGGAGATTTCCAGATAAAATTTGAAAGATGGTAGGTGGTACCTCTAAAGTTGAGAATATTGTAGAAGGACTTGACTGAGAACTCGTCTGATGAGAGATGAGGCCATGTTATACCATCTTGGACTAATACATCTGGTGGCTTGGTTGACTCAAGGAGAAGGTAGAGCTTGGTGATATCAGATCTCTCCTCTGCTGTGAATCCTCTTCTGAGAATTGGGTGCCATTTCCAGGTGTTATGGATGAATAAACCTTGAGAATATGTAGAAGTGTTGTGGGAGAATGCTAATTTGAACACTCTAGGGAAGAGACTGGAGAGTGTTGTCCCCCAACCATTTGTCCTGCCAAAATCTGCAGGTGTAACCAGCTCCGAGAGTCCAGCGGACCTGGAAAGGGTCTTGAATTAAGTATAAGTCTTTAATCAGATTAGATGTTGAAACTTTTAGGGGATTAGATACAGGGTTGGAGTCGTTTACAGAGTAAATGGAGAAGATGACTTTGCTGATATAAGACTTATTGTCAAGGATTTTCCAAATCCATTTAGAAAGCAGAGCAAGGTTGAATGGTTGCAAGTTAATGACACCTAAACCTCCTTCACTCTTAGCTTTACAAACTCTACCCCAGTTGACCAGACATTTAGGTTTAGAGGACTGCTTGTAGTCACCCCAAAGGAAATTTCTTCTGATTTTATCAATAGCTTTGATGAGCAAACTTGGAAGTTTAAAAAATGACATGTAATATAAAGGGAGAGAGGATATAACAAAGTTTATGAGAGTAAGTCCTCCACCAATAGACAGAGACTTGTTTTTCCACAAAGCTAACTTCTTAGAGAAGGAATCTAGAAGGGGTTGCCACTCCCGTCTAGTGAGGGTACCTTTTTTGAGAGGAAGACCAAGGTATGAGAAGGGAGGGAGCCAATAAAACAGTTAAGCTTGTTTGCCAGATGAATTCCCCTACTAGGGACTATGCCCAGGTAGTATAGACATGACTTGTAGTGATTAACATTGAGACCTGAGATGTTGCCAAAAATGAACAAGATAGTTTTAAGGGTAATGATGTCATTATGATATGCTTTACAAAAAATGAGAGTGTCGTCTACAAATTGAAGGGTTCTTATAGAATTTAGCTCTCTTTTAAGGTTAAGATCAAAAAGGTCTCCTGCCTGAATACTAGTAGATATCATCTTGTTTAGGACATCCACAATCAACAGGAAGAGCAAAGGAGAGAGGGGGTCACCCTGTTTTAGACCTCGATGGCATTTGAAATGGGTGGTTGGAGAACCATTTACAAGGACTACAGATTTAGCTGAAGAGAGGATGTGGGATATCCAGAGGCACCACCTGGGATTAAAACCTCTGGCTTTAAGAAGGGAGAGAAGGAAGTCCTAATGAACACAGTCAAAAGCTCTGAAAAAATCCACTTTTATCGTACACAGTTCTTTTTTGCCAGAAGAGCGACAGTTGATCATCTCATGAGCCAGAAGGATTAAGTCAAGAGAAGATTTGCACTTTGAAAAGCAGACTGAGATTTGTCTACCAAAGATGGAATGAGAGGCTTGAGCTGGTTGGCTAAGCTTTTGGTGAAGATCTTGACTGAACTATTGATAAGGCTCATGGGTCTGAATTCAGCTGGAGAGCTGGCCCCTTCCTTCTTAGGAATGAGACAGATAAAAAAGTAGTTGATGTTATGAAGAGGTTTTGTATCAAGAGTGTAATGACTGGATAAAGGATATACCATCTTGATAAATGACATGCCATTTTTCTGAAAAAATGAATAGGGAGACCATCAGGCCCTGGGGATTTGTCTGGGTGTAGGTCAAAAACTGCATGCTTGATTTTGTCTACTGAGGAGGATGAGTCCAAGGTAGAAAGGTCTACAGGAGAGGGAGGATAAAGATGATTCCAATTGATACTGAATCTGGAGGCTGGTTGAGCTTGGAAAAGATTAGAGAAATAGTCATAGAATGCCTGTGTTATTGACATCTGACTCAGAGGAGAGAATAGTGTTATTGATGGAAAGGTAGGGAATGAAGTTGATCCTCCTATGGTGAGAAGCAATTCTGTGGAAAAAAGTTGTATTGTTATCTCCTTCTTTAAGCCATTGGATCCTAGTTCTCTATTTCCATTTAATCTCTTCAGCTTTGGCCAGAGAAAAATGGAGCTCTCTAAGGTTAACTCTGTATTGGAGTTCATAATCAGAAAGGGGTCTAGATTCTTCTAAACAGTTGAGATGATCAAGATCATTTAGGGCCTTGGATGCAAGCTGAGAGTTGGATTGAAGAACGTGTCTTTTTCACCATTTGATCCTCCTCCTGATGAGTTTGATTTTAAGAGGGAGGGAGGCTGAATGGTCATTGTGGGATGAGAAGGAGATCCAACACGACTGAATAAAAGGAAAGAAAGAGGGAATGGTAAACCATGATTTTTCCAATCTGAACACTGGCGAAGGACTGAGACCACCAGAATATAGAATAATAGGAAAGTGATCCGAGCAGGGAGATTAATAAGCAAACTAAACCAGAAATGGGAAATGGGACTCAAAATCATGGGATATGAGAAATCTGTCAAGCCTAGCTAGAACTGGATTGGCTCTTTGGTTAGACCAAGTGAACTTTCTACCACTGAGAGGAAGATCATGGAGTTGGAAGGAGTCAATGAGATAATTGAAGGAGTTGATATCTCTAATGGAGCCAGTCTACCACTTCTCTCATCTAAACTTAAAGTCAAATTAAAATCTCCAAAAACTACCTAAGCCAATGACGTGGATTGCTTAATCCTGGATAATTCCCACCAGTAGACCTCTCTATCGTCTTTATCGTGAGGAGCATAAACAATAGTGGCAGCAAATTTCCAATTTGAAGGTTTGTGGATCAGGAAGACAGTAACTGAGAATATACCAATAGACGATGATGTACAGGAAAATAATGACTCTTTCCAACCCATCAGAATACCCCCTAGATTCCGTGGCATCTAAAACCGACCAAGAGAATATACTGCTACTCCCCAAACTATTGAGGGTTCTGGGAGAGATGGAAGAAAGTTGTGTTTCTTGAAGACTCACTAGGTTTATATTTGCTGACTGAATACAGACTTTCACTAATCTACATTTAGTAGGATTATTTAACCCTCTCACATTCCATGAACCAAGCTTCATTACTTGATATGGAAGACAACTTAATGCTAGAAACCATCACAATTAGGTGGGGTTGGTCCCGACTTTTTCCATAGCTTGAAGATCTGAAAGTCCTAGGGGATCAACTGGCTCTTGGATGCCGCAATTAATAGCAATGTCACGGAGTTTGTCTATGCAGATTGAAGAAATAGGCATAGATGGGGTTAGAGATTTACCTTTATTTCCACCTGGGGGGGACTCCTTTTCATGAACGCTATGTGCTTTCTGTGAGGCAGGTGAGCGAGCATCCTTTTTGAGGACTTCCTTTTGGACAGTTTCTTAACATGCTCGAAGCCTGAAGGAGGGTCTGATGATGAGACGACATCCATGGATTCTGATGAGTTGTTGATGTTAACGGGAGGGATTTGGTTGTTGGAGAGCAGAGGAACTGTTGAAGCTGCGGGCTGATGAGGAAAGGCTAAAGAGAGCAGTTCCCAGGAGTCTTTTGCAATCTTGATAGGGACCCCCTTGAAGACGACCTCAATGAACTTAGCTGGGGCTACTTCACCTAGAGAGGTCCCCTCCCCCCCGACATCCATGACATTTTTCCCTTTGTGGTCAATATGGATGGGGACTGATTCTATATTCTAGTTGGTGGTTGCTGCTGCTGCTTGGTTTGCTTTTGTCGATGATGGGTTGAGGGAGGGAGGAACTTTTGATGAGGATGATGGTTCTCCTTCTTTCCTAATAAAATGCTCAAAATACTCAAGACATTACCTTTCTTTTCCGGCAGTGGTTTTCCCACTCCCTAAGCTGAACAGATCACTCCATAGTGTGACTATCATCTAGGGAAGAATATCGAAAGATAACAGATCTTGGGATCTCAGCAGTGTCCCGAACACTAAGCATAGCTTTACGCTCTCTGGTATTAGATTTGATCATGACATCGTCTGAGACAGTGATAACGTCTCCAATATCCCCTAACAACTGCATGTTAAAATCTGAATCCCATAAGTGAAGAGGGAGACCTAGAGTCTCAACCCAGACATACATAAATTTTGGAAGAACTTTTAAGGCCCCTTTGCTCAGCCCACGGGGTAAAGACTCCTCCAAAAGTACCCATATCGAAGAACTCCTTGGAGCAGGCGATGGCTAGGGTTTCGTCGTTGGGAAACTGAATGAAGAAAGCCGAGGGGGAGGAACACTTGATCTTGTATGTCCATCTATCCACTTTGAGGTGGTACTCCAGATTCTCATTGAGTTCCGAAAGAAGAAGGGTTGCCCACTTGGAGTTCAAAAAAACCATAACTAGAATACTCCTTCATGTTGTTGATGACTGAGGGTGGCAGCTCGATGTTTGGGATGAACAGAGGAAGGGGAGAAGGAGCGGAGGGGATGATGTTATAGAGAGGAGGGTTGTTCTTGCTAGGACAATAGATCGAAGTGTGCACAACTCTATTGCCAGCAAAGCATTTGAAATCTCCCAAGGTGCAGTTCCTAGCTATATGGAATTTGTCACCACAGAAAAAACACCTAGAAGGTTTAGGCTTAGGGGGAGCAGAGAGGGGGGTTGGGATGCTTGGGTCTCTTTTTGTTGGACACTGTCTTCCAGCCTCCTTCATGGAGGGGGGGGATACCCTTTTGGGAGGAGGGAGGGGTGGACAGAGAGAGGAGGATGAGTTAATACCCTTAAAGAGGTCTGTGAAAGAGGAGTAAAGTGGCGGAGAAGAGGGAAGTTGCTAAGGTTTGGGAGTGATGGAAGGAGGAGGAGGAGGGAAGGAGAAAACTGTGGGTGGTTGGGAAGGCGGAGGGCCTGTTTTGGGTGGCACTGTGGGTGGATTGATGGAAAGCAAAGGAGTAATTGTGATGTTACTATTGTTGATAGAGACTAATCGCCGCCTGGATGAACGTGCTGCCATGCACCTTTTCGCCTCTTCGATCGCCTTTTCGCTTCCATCTCGCGAAAAAGGTTTTCTTGATCTGGTGAACTTTATACTTTGAATTTGGAATTTCAGTAATTGAATCCAATTCTATCATACGAGCATCTACCTGGGATTTGAAAAATTCATTATCATAAAAATTGAGAATCATAAATTTCATAAAACATGAGAATCATTAATTTCATCCAAAAGATGGTATTTATCATAAAATTCATGGTAGTATGAAATAAAAGTAGTTAATTTTATTTTAGTTGATTCTCATGAACGATATTCTGAAGTCATGTATCACTTTGGTGAAGATTAAACTTTTATGACTTTTTTTTCTCTATTACAAATGTTAGTTCATTTTTTTCTGCAAAGCCCCCAACAGTTCATGATATAGTTTTGTTATCATTACACTGGATATTATCTCTGATTTTACAAATCTGTGGTTGTGTTTGCTTAATTAATTAGATTGTATCAAGACACATTGAGCTATTATCAGAGCAGCAACTCTTGGGAATCTGCAGTCTGCAGCAGTCAGCACAGGAGACAGAAGAAGCACTGAGCCAAGGGCTTGCAACCCTTAACCGGTCATTGACGGAGACTGTCGTCTCCGATGCTCTGAGCTTCTCCTCCGACATTGCCGGCTACATGGGTCAGATGTACTCGGTTGCCATCAACAAGCTCAACAACCTTGAAGCTTTTGTTATACAAGTAAGAATTACTATATATCCAATACTACACACAATTAATACATAAACTGTAAGTTTCATAGGCAGTAACTATGTATCATGTACTATTCAGGGTTCTGCGTAAAATATCATAAACTATTTTGTTGCAAACATACCAAAAGTTTCTACATTAGCATAAAATGTCACTAAGGATGGTTTTATGATAGTACCTGAGATCTAGTCCTTGATAATTATATAACAGTAGTGTAAAGTCCCTGATATATAGTTAACAACTTTATCCAAAAGTTATTGACGTGGCTTTATAAAATATAAATAAAAATTCATGATATTTAGTTCATGAATAATTTTTTTTTACAGTATAATACGCCAGTCAAGCGTCGTATCGACACACAAGCCTGTGATTACTCGTTTTAATTATAATCCTGTACTTTTCTTTCTCCCCTGCTGAGCGTTTACGTGCCAAAAAAGGGGAAAAAATTAAGAAATTTCAATTGCAAATTTGCAGGCAGACAACCTGAGGCAGCACACAATCCACAGGCTTCACCAGATACTAAGTGGTAGACAAGCTGCGTTGTGCTTCTTGGCGATGGAAGACTACTTTCATCGTCTTCGAGCCCTCAGCTCACTGTGGATGGCTCGTCCAAGAAACTTTTAGACGTCGAAAAGATTTGTAGAGAGATGTACAGATGCTGTCAGTTCTTTCTTGAGGAAATTTTGTAGATTAGAAACCAATGACAGTTACAGAAGAAAATACTGAATACATTTTTGCTGATTGCATGTTACTTTAAAGGGAATTAAGGTCATAGAGGATCCCTTGAAGAAAATCATATAAGAGGAAGGATAAATAACGTGTAGACTTTAAAATCGATGATTATCGCATCGATACGATTGTCTGTTTTATTGATTCGTAGGGAACTTATTTCGATCTTACTTCTTACATCATTTGTTGCATCAAACACAATAAGGGAAAGAAGAAAAAAAGAAGAAAAAAGACATTTCATCAGAAGGACAACTGTCTTCACTTGAATACAGTGGTTGGCAGCGATAATCGTTTAACTGCAGTTCAATTAGTACAGCCAATAATGTGCTGATTTAGTAATTATAATATATGGGTTAAACTTCATGGAATGTCATGTATCATTCTCTCTTTTCTTCCCATACAGTATTTTCCTTTATTGCCTAATCAAAGAAAGAGCAACCCACCGCAAAAATCACAATACAAAGACAAATCTTCCATTTTTGTCAGCACCAAAGTGAATGAAGAGAAGAAAAAAAATTTTGTAACTTCAACAATTTTCAGCTACATTTCTGGATTCTCCAACAGAAAAAGTGCTGAGATGAACTCTACCCATCTATTACATGCTGAACACCCTCCCTGCCATGCTTTTAAATTCGGTATACAGAGTAAAACAGGCACAAAACAACTGTGGCCTGCAAAGAGAAAATGTAACAAAATTAAATCAAAAAAAAGTTGTCAAGCGGCCACTTATTAATTATACCATCTGGGATCTGAGGTCCCCAGCAACAGAACTCCCAGCTGTGAATCGTAACATATTAAGCACTTTCAAAATGTGGCGTGTGATCATGTTTTCTAAAATGCTTCTGATTGTTCATGCTGCATTCTTCGCCTTTTGTTTCTGCTTCTTGGAATCAAGAGAAGCCAACCCACCGCCCAAGCCTGCAGGAGTTTGGCTGTCAGCCGATCTATTTGTGTCCTTGTCACCAATAACAGCACCATTTGGCGTGGGGTTGTCACTAGGATCCTTCGTTTCAGATGAGTGGGCAGTTTCTGTAGCTGTTGAAGTATTGTTGATGATGTTGAGGAGTTGAGCGAGTGGTAGAGGTTGGACGGGAGCAATATTCTGGCTAACAAGGAGACCTCTCGCTGCTGCTTTCTTTCGAGCTTCAGCAGCAGCGCGGCCCTCTCATCTCTTCCTCGAGGGACAGTTTCTCAATAGGTTGGCATTCCTGCCACCTCCGCCGCTTGTGGCTTGTAATGCTTGTATTAGATTGGGATGAGCCTGTTAAAAGAATGGAAAGGGAAAAAAAAAGTTAAGAGCATAGGACCTCTTATACACCCAAGTACACAAACAGGGTATGGAGGGCCAATGAACAAAGGACAGAACTTCCTCACATGGCACACTAAAACTCAAATATCTGCATGTAATTGTTTCATGATCTAACCAATAACTATAAAGTTACAAAATCTAATTATAATTTTCCCATCAGTTTCTCAGTCCACAAAATTATTGGCTCTACATGATTTAGCAACTCTCCAACCCATGGCAGCATCATCCATATTAATCTCAATGTAGTAACATCACATAACCTAGACCAGCCTTGTCACTCACGATTTAAATCTAAATCAAAATCCCAATAACTAGATTATTCTTCTAACTTTTTGTTGCCTCACACCACTGGTCTTCACCTCTCTGGCCAGGCTAATAGTATTCCTTATTTATATGCTATATCTTTACAAAGTTTTGTGTGTGCACATGCGTGTTTGTTATATACAAGCATCCAGCTCTCTTTCTGTACTTGCGGTGAGTTACGGTGAGTTCTCAAAATTAGTTTTTTGATTAATTAAGAATGTACAAATTTAGTTGACATCATGAGTTACAGTAAGCTCTCTGCTACACCCTTTTTTCCTCACATACGTTGTTAAAAAAAATTTCTTCGTACTTCAAGCATGTATTGTATCATGCACATATCATGTGCACCAGAAGACTAGTATATCATGAAAAAACAGAACATAAAAGAATGTACCTTCAGAATATCAATAGCCTTTTGGGCAGAAGCCGAATCCAACTCCTGACCTTTCTGTTTCTGTGCTTTAACCTGCCATGGAAATAACACATTGAATCATAAAAAGAGTAAGGTAAAAAAAAACAATTTGAATGCTGCAGGTAATCCTGAGCATTTGAAGCTTTGAACATTAACTTTCATTTCTATTGAAGTGGCTGATATATGCATTTAGTCAGATCATCAGATACAGAATTCCTAGGACCAACTAAAATCTCAGGAAATAGAGCATTTACATAGAAATGTAGTATTATTTTAGAAAGTAAAATTGCAATTACTGATTAGTACTGTACCAAATTCATACAATATACACAAAAATCAGTTTCATGGCAGGTTTTGGAAGATAACGTGTAAAATTTGTGGAAACTGCTGTTTCAGTTTAACAATAACTGAAACTTCATTTAAACCCTGTTCCGTGAGTACAGGTTAAACCTGGCAATAATTATGTAAAAATATCATTAAAACATTCTCCAGTAATTTAGCTATCTTAGATCAAATTCTCAACATTCTCATAATATTAAGCATGTTTCCAGCATACTCATTAATTTTCCAGTGATTCATTCTCCTTAGTCACCTTCCAACAAAATACATTTTCTCATAAGTTGTATAGATTCCCAACAAACTTTTCTCTAGAATTCCAATTGATAAAACATATTTTCATTTCCATTCACACTTTTCAAAATTATGTTTCTTCCACAAGTAAACCACATTATATTTGCATGGTTCCTTACGAAAGAAGCAAAACACTATAAGTTAGAGACTTCAACATGCTGACAATATAAGAAATGCTAGTTACCTGCAGTTCACGCATCTTAAATGTCTTCATCCAATTCTCTGACTCTCGCGTCCGTGAATCCTCCTCCCCGAGTTGTTTAGAAAGTATATCATAGTTTTTTTTCTCATGCTGTAATAAGAAACAAGAAATTCTTACAACATAATACAACCAACAACAAAGGCCAATAGCCGTGTACTTGGAGTGACATGCCTGAAGAGAGAGCTTGTAGGCTCCCATACAGTTGAATGCAATTGCAAGAGCATGGTAACAAACTGCGGTTTGAATATGTTCTGGACCAAGAAGCCTCTCGTTCTTCTTTAAGGCTTCCTGCAAGTACCTCAGTGCAGCATCCATTTTCCCAAGATCCTGATACATAATTGCAATGTTTATATAAGTTGCTGCAACATCAGGATGGTCAGGGCCTGTTGATAGGCTCAACAACAACAGTGTTCTGGACATGTGACGTAAAGCCAGCTCTGTTTGAGTGAGGCCGTGATAGAAGAGAGCCATGTTTCCATAACTGAAAGCAACATAACAATGGAGCAACTTGGTAAAAGATAAAGAGATTCAAACAATAGAACCACCAAAAACACCAAGGATAAGACAAAACCTGTGGGCTGTATCAGGGTGATCAAGGCCAAGGCAATGCTCATTGATGATTAGCTCTTTATGCTGCTGCATAATGGCTCCAGCCAGGTCGCCTGCATGATATAAAACCATGGCAAGATACCTGAAATTTCAGATGTGTACACCGTCAATGAAAGTGTGAACCTTTGTCATAGACAAGTAAATCTTTATCTTCTGCACACAACTGAGAGGAGGGAAAATCTGACAGTATCAGTTTTCTAACAGATGACCACATGCAGATTAGAAATAGAGAATAGATCAAGTGCTGAAAACACATAGCATACTTCCTAAGGCGAAAAGTTGGCGACATTCTGGATTAATGCAGATCAAAATTTTGGATATTCCTCCAGAACTTTATGTATGCCTTGCAATCATCAAGATAAAGAAATATAACAGGCCAAAGCAGACTAAAGAGCAGAAATTCTAAAAAAAATCTTGGCCACAATGTCAGATGGCCAGCCTAAGTAGTAGCATATAGGGCCTTATAGAACATAACCCTCAATACCAAGTTTCTCCCTAATCATAGCCAGCTCTAGCAAAAACAATATTAAACGCCCAATTTCACTATTTCAGCAGTTCATTTAGAACTGCCTCTATATATGATATTAGTAGCAATAATTTCAAATAATAGAGTAAGCTAAAAGTAAAAATAGGAAAGACGTGGAATAGGCTGTTTTTCCTTTTCTTAAGTACTTTATGTTCAATCACTAAAACTCTAATATTACATGGAGTTATATACCAAACATTGTAAACATATATAAAATATCACACAAGTAATTACCGGCAACAATTAGCAACCTCTCTGTGCATCGGACCTGTGACCTGTATCAATTGGCTTCCAACTTTTAGAAACATCAATGCTGAAATGCTGAGGTACTACAGAATGTAGACAGGAACAGACAAAAAATAGCTTACTTGTTGAAGTATGGAAAATGCTTCAGAAAAAAGAGTGTAGGCTTCATTTAATAATCCCTATAAAACAGGAAACATTTTAAACCATAACATTCATAACTGGATATGGAGCACAGTGCAAAATGAACATAAATGAACACTTTCAGAAGACTGATTAGTTCCAAAATTTTATATGACGCATAATTTGCAATGGAAATGGTATGCTAACTGCTAAGATACCTCAGCAAGCCGATTTTTCCCTGCTGCCATTATATCCCTTGCTTCTGAACAAAACGGAACTGAATGTTTAACAACTGGCATGAGGTCTAGAACATCTGAACTTTGAAAGGGTGATGCAGAACCAAGATCATATTTCCGTGATGCAATTTTTATGCCTACCTGTTAGAATTCACGAAAATTGAGAATAGATAATATTTAAAATGTCAATCTGAACTAATCAAACATGATTATACTCATCAGATATAGCAAAAAAAGCAATTACATTTAAGACCAATAATGATCCTAAACCAGCTCAAAGAATCAAGCACGGAGTAGGTGAGCCAAAAAAAGATGATTTACTGTGTGAAACTAAACTTGGATAAGATCATATTTGATATCTTCGGCATTGTGCACTAGGACAGTAAGATTCTATTTGATATCTTCAGCACCATGCACTAGGAAAAAGGTGTACCTTTTGGCAAAGATTTCGGATAACTGAAACCTTCTTTACTCTTGACTTTGCATCCTCTGGTAATTCAAACTACATTTGATAAGAAGAAATTTAGACAATTTTATATATGGAAGTATATTAATAGAGGATGCCCAGGGGCTCAATCCTGGTTCACACTACCTGATACTTAGATTTTGCAAATTCCTGAATGCATGACCAGAGTCCTTCAGAAGTCAAAGACATGTATGCGGATTGACTTGTCCTAGAAACTGTCCCATAACTCCACTTTGTTTGCCTTTTACCTGATTTGCGTGCAGACTGGACATCTGAGTGGTCCTGGAAATCAAAATCAAGTATCAAGTGATCTGCAGGTTAAACTTTAGAAGAGAGAATCAGGGAGGCAGCAAATGAGAGGAAGGATACACATGTTCCATGCAGAGTGTTTAACAGACAAGTAATAATCATCAAAGTAGAAATGGTGGTATGATCATGCCATAGATTATTAACCATTTGTTATGTGGCAACTACCCATCCCCCAGGCAAGGGCAATGCCATTCAGTTTTAAACTTATGAAAGTGGGAGCCAGCCTCCAAGAACCTTGATACTAGTAATAAAAAATGGCATGTTATACGTAGTGTGGAGGGATAGAGGAAGGGACAGAGGGGCAGAGAGATGCAAGGCGGTTAAAATATTTAACAAAGATTTCACAGTTTATGTTAGCATAATAATGAACCTCTACTGTAGTTGGCATTCAAGTACTGGAAATCAAGTGTACACCTATGGGTTATGTCACTCTTACTTGAGGTACTTATGCTATCAGATTGAAGTATCAATAAGCATGCATATGATGGAAGAACAAGTATCCCAAACTATGAAAAGTTTCACTAGCATGCACGGATACAAGAAAACATATAGAGATGCATTGACATGAAGACCTAGAAGCTGAATGTTGAAAGATGCAGGTTTTGCAAATTTCAAGTACCTTTTGAGGCTTTGTTTGCATACAGTCAGTAGCACCTTTCTCAGAAGGAGTCAATATAAGTCCAAAAAAACAATTGAAGAAATGTGAGATAGCTGGTGCAAGATCATGGTCCTGGCAGTCCCTAAGAGTATCCTGGCCAAAAATGAAAGAATTTCATATTAAGATGATAACTCCATGAGTTTATTATAATGGTATATCATAGTTATAACTGTCTTACAAGAAATACTCGTTAAGGCTATTACATCTCAATATATCAAGTTCATCCACTAGGGATTAAATTCTTGAAACAGAATTTCCACAGAAGATAACGAACATATAAAGGCGGATCTAGATTTTAACCAAGGTAGGGCACGTGCCCCCTTTCATAGTTGTCAATTATACATTATATCTAATAAAAGAGCATATTCTCAATCTAAAAAGTAAATCCTAGTTATCTTCCAGTTCACATGTTTTCAATCTTGCCCTTTCTTTTTCTGGTAATCTTGCATCTTCCTTTAATATTACCCACTAAATATGTTATCAGGTTAAGAAGCAATATTAGTTTTGAACTTCTATCAAGTAATAAACTTAAAAATCAATACTTTGTTGTCTAGACATTTCAAATGGTTCAGACCATCTTATAATTTTTTTTTTTGTTTCTTTTGTTTCTTTTTTTTTTTTTTTTTTTTTTTTT